GTGCTTTAAAACGCAAAGGTTCATGGGTGGACGCTTGTTTGTAAACAATAACACGCTATGGCCATCTGACGCATGCGCAGGTGACGACATCGAAGCTTTAACAAATAATTGGTCAAGTATTATAAGATGGACATGATGCAACTGCAAACTTCAGTACTAGTATGCCGCGTTATTGTGACAGTACCCCAATTGGATTAGTTGTTTTCGTAAGGTCGCACATTAACTAAAGACCCCCTGACACAGTGCACCTTAGCATGCCCCACTCAACTAAAATAAACATGGCATTGCAACAAGTAAGTTTTTCATATGTTACCTGATGGCTTCCCATTGGTCGAATCCATCCAATGGTTTGGTCCCATTCAAAACACCTCCTGCTAGATTGACTAACGTCGGAAACCAATCACTGACGTGGATCAGTCCTTTATGTACAGTACCTCTAAATTCATCTTGAATTAATGGACTGTGCACAAATCCAACACCGTGAACACCCCCCTCCCATAGTGAAGCCTTCCAGCCTCGAAATGGCCAATTATTGCCTCCAGTATATACTTGACCTCCGTTATCTAAATAAAGATTGCATTATGCAAATTAACCATTAATTAACGAATATGGTAATACAAACACATTTCAATTTACTTATATTTAAATTTAAACTATTATATTTGACAGAATACACATATATGCGTCTAGAACTAAATACGTACTATGCGTTCACGTTTAAACAACTTGCATACATTAACGTGATTGGTTGGTTGGTTGGAATGGACGCAGCAAACAGATTATAGCACATTATTATTGATACTACCGCATCTTTAATTATCAGATTATGTTAATTTCCTACATCTCACCTGTAGAGAAGATAATGAGAGTATTATTCCATAGTGACGACTCTTTCAGCGTCGCTGTAATGTTCCCTATCCCTTCATCCATACAGGTCACCATGCCTGCCAATTGTCGACGGTTACTGTCAGAAATCTTCTCTTTGTATTTATCGGAGTATTGTGAAGGTACTTGTAAAGGCGCATGTACTGATTGGAATGGTAAATACATGAACAGAGGCTGAGAAATATATAGATACACAAAGAGTATGTTAATTCAGCTGCTGTAAACGGGATATCGGTTAAATCCTCTACAAAACACCAGGCAATATAAACACACATATTGAAAACTAACGTTTACCTTGTCTGTATTATGCTGTCTGATGATATTTTGTATTTTTTTGGTGAACACAAACGCTGAGTACTGTCCTGCATATTCCTTGGCTACTTCCTCTTCATTTCGTCTCAGGTCGTACCCAGTTTCCCTTATATGAGTAAAGTAATCTTCTGCTCCCGTATAATACCCTAAAGTAGAACAACGAAAGTTCCTGCTTTTTTATGTAACGTTATTGGAAGGAAAGTTCGTTGACCCATATACCATATTATAGAGTGGTTGGGCGAAAGACATACACGTATATTAAAGCAGCAGGTCATTTGCGCCCTCTGTATCGGCAGAGTGCGCAGTTCAAGGGAGCATGTCATATTTCCTAATTCTTGTCAGCTACTATAACGTCATTCTCTCCTGTTAAGACAGCAGCTTACTATAATTTTTTGAGAAAGTTGGTCGTATATCACGCGTGACAATATCCATTGGTTTATTCCGTCAATTAATGGTGCTATTGTCCCATGGCACAATGAAACAGTGACGTTTTTTTAGAAACTTGATGAATATTTTTCAAAAAAAAAAACAATTCCATAGAACACAATGTCAAAAGAATATTGCAAGTTTTGACATTTTTTTAAATGCCATATTTTTTAATTACTAGTAATTCAGGACAACACTTAAAAAGTACACCATATGATTGTCACTATATAATTGTTTCAGCCAATGTCACCAGCCTACAATAACCCGGATACTTGGAGCTAATTGCAGGAAGTATAAACAAGTACAAGTATCAGAGCCTTTCAGTTGAATAAAAAAAGGGTGCCGTTTCATAGAAACATGCAACGTCCTAAATCACACGGTTTAGCGTGCTCGGCGTAAACACGAACAGTGGTGATGCGATGGCCGTACGTATAATCCAACCTTGGCTGATGAAGCCTGGAATGACAACATGATCCGAGTAACAGTTAAAGCAGCGGGGGCGTCACCTGCGCATGAACGGGAATCGAGTCCCAAGCGACGATAACACACGCTAAAAACGCAAAGGCCCACTGGTAGATGCTTGTCTGTAAACATTGACGCGCAATGGTCATCTGACGCATGCTCAGGTGACGACTCCCCTCCCCCGCTTTAAAGGGTGGTAAACGAACAATGTCTTTTACACGCGTTGTATACGTCGCCATGTGTCCCGTATATCGAACACGACGCGGCGCCACGCCACAGGGTGGAGTGGAGAATCAGTTGTTTTATTTTTCAAATTAGATTATTTTGTGAGCACTGTTTATATATTTCAGTACTGAACACATTTGACCGTTTAACGAGTACGTACCAAAAAATGAGTCAAACCCTCTACGTGTGGGTAAACACGCCTCTTTATAGAACCCGAGATGCCATTTACCAACCATATGGGTAGCGTATCCAGATTCTTTTAACTTCTCTGCTAACGTGACTTCATCTAACGGTAACGAATTCGGCACTGCTGGCTTGATTACTCCATGCTGCAAGCCTGTGTGTATCTAAATATTCAAACTATTACAGCATGAATGAATCATCTGTTCACAAGCTGTAACTCTCACCCTGGTTACGCATAAAATCTAAAATTTTCCACCCATACGACCAAAACACGACAGCCTGGAATGCAATGACACTGCAACGTGAAACTATGTAGACGCAGTATATCCACGTGCTGCTGTTAAAATAATACACAAAAATCCGTATTAAAATAATACAGTCACGATTCTCTGGTGGAGGCACTGTGATTAAATAATGTCTTATAAATGTATTAAATTATCTAGGTCATCATATTTCACAAATCACATTTTACCAGAGACAAAAAAACAAACCGTTCGGTATGAACCCAGGTGGTTTGAACCCAACACGCCCCCAAATACGTACACACCTGATAACGCCCACTCATTAGCTGGCTTCTCGTTGGTGTACATATCGGTTGAACGTAATAGTTTTCAAGCTTCACCCCGTCGCTGGCTAATTTATCCAGATTTGGCGTTTCGATTACGGACCCGTGGTAACCGACATCGTGCCACCCGTAGTCGTCAGCCACAATGAGAAGAATATTCGGACGCGGTGAAATAGCCTTCATTGTGGTGAGTTGTACGGCGCATAATATTGCTATGATGTGATGCCAGATTCCTTCATGGCTACTCTTTACAATCGCCGAGCCTATGCAGGGTGCACAACCTGATGACGTCAAAATAAAAAAGGTCAGCCTGAGTGTCACCAACTACTGTTCAAAGTGACCGTCTGTGACCGGCAAGGCGAGGGAGAAGCAATTTTGTTCGCACTGAAAATGATTTTGTTAACAGTGTGATAACACTGTCACGTGCGTTAGTTTGTGGTTGTTGATATAAGAACGGATTTCAGGTAAACAAATGTAGTTGGAATACAAGCAGTTAGCCTGACATGGTTGGCCATTATTTATTGCGCCCTCGCCGACGCGGACGGATTCACTCTGATGCAAAATATAGCTTGCGACCATGTCAGGTTAACAAACAGTATGTTTTACGTCTCAGACAACCGGCTCAGTTTACGTTTAACATCATTTGGGATGTCGGAAACAACATTACTTTTCTACCAATCACAAAATTAAATTGACGTCGACAATACACTGTGCATACGGTAACAACAAACTGACACCGTGACAAAATATCGACAAGAAATACGACATAAAGCGTAATCTACATAAAATCGCAACACGAGCCTGGGGCGTGACTGTATCAGTATTTGTGTAGCTCTTGATTTAGCTATAGCTATATTACTTTTAGTGACGGACGAAATACCCTTAGCTACAAATATTCTTTTCATACCACTCTATTGCGGCGTATGAAAAAAATTGTAACAACATCTAAGAGACTTGAACATGTATTAATCAGAAGTTTCGAACAATGTGTAGACTTTCAGGCAAGATTCATGTCATCAAAGAAAATCATTATTCCTTATATTATTTATAATATGAATGTGATTAATGTTCATCAACGTGATATCAAAATAATACATTCAAAGAAAGAAAAATATGCCTTAAGTTAACATGGGCAGACCACGATATAGTATGGATATAGGCGATGTAGGGATAGGGAATGTTGGACTTCTATGCCAATCTATACGATAAATTGTGTTGTTTTTTTCAAAACATTGACAGCCCCTTCCCTGAGGAGGTTCACGGTTTTAGTGATTGTTATGTGTATGTCAATTTTTCTATTGTAATACAAAAAAAAAATACATTAGGGACTTCATATCTAGCGCCCTCTTGAGACACAAATCGCTCACTTGTACTTCACAAATACTATATGAAAAGACGGGCGTTTATTGCTCCAGACAATTAGGAACAATAATGTGGTAAGTATGCTTCATAATAATTTGTTAGCGTGGTCGTCATGCATATTTAGCAGAGTGTCATTTATTTTTCCTAAAATCGAAAAAGTAATGCTGATTATAACGTTTTGGCATTCATGTATTCAGTTAGTTTTAGGCATGTGATACTATTTTAGGTTTACACGAGGCTGGCATATTTTAACAGTTTTATTTTGTGTTACAAATTGTGTTAAATTGTCGTATGTCTTGCATTCGACTCACAATATTCGCGGGTAATACCGGAGATGAAGAGTGGCATTGCGAGAAGCAATATTCATATTATATAAACATTTCTTCGATGCCACACGTTATGCCCGTATTAGTCCACGAATGAATGAATCATGTGCGTAACTGCAAATCGCAAAACTGGCCACGAAAAAAAAGGAGATGAAAATTAGCAGACGAGAAATATTAGAGCGGCGAGAGAACAGCGGGAAACAAGTCGAAATAGGTCCGAAAACCTCTAGACGAAAAATACGACTTGTAGCAAACAAACTCGGCAGGTTTCTATTGAAGATACAAATGTAGGCGGCAATTTTTACTAAGGCTCTGATTATTAAAGCGGGGG